GTATGAGAGACAAGTGAAATGTTTTGGCCACATTAAAAGACATTGCTTCGAAAACCATATAAAGAGAAAAGTAATCTATAACGGTGGTCTCCCAACCTTTTGTTAATGGCGCTTTCCCCTTGAGAATATTATATGCCAATCCCCCCCCCCCTCCCCAACATAACATAATGTTATAAAAAAAATTGAGGACAAGAACAAAGGCAAGCACTGTCAACAGGGAGATCCTTCAAAAGTTTTTCGTCCCAAACACACCATGATTGGCCGTTAATTCATTCTTCCTGACCATTCACACGCGTTAGTCTAAGATACAGGGGTGTCACATTGTGTTCTCTTCGACATTGGCACCGGCGATGACGCGTGCTCTATATTACACCGCTATGTGACCGCTTTTAACGACCACAGAAGATCTAGAACTGGCCCATATCCCCCCTCCCCTTTTTTACACACACCGAGCCTCAGCCTACATCCCACGAGAGACTGCAGCCTACGTACCGTGGTTTCAAAACTGTTAATATTTTGCGGTCGAGCCCATTGTCGGTAATTAACGCTGACAACTGAAGTAAATTCATGTTTTGCTCGAAGTCCGAGAAGGCTAGAATATATGCAATGTCGCTGGCTGCTCAGAACAACGAATGAAACACAGCCCGGCAAAAGAAAAATGCCAAGCGCTGGTAATGAAATCATCCACACACAAAAGTGTCAAATAACGAAAGCTTGACTATTTTGTTTTATGAAATGTTTGACACAATATTTTATTTTATATATGTATATTTTTCTAAATGGATTAATAACAGTTTTAATGAACTGAATTTTAAAATTGCGTGACGCTCCCTTAAATGATGCTTTATGGCGCCGCCTAGGCTGGAGACCACTGGTCTAAAAGAAAGCAAGCGGTGGACAGCGAAATAAGTGGATTACAACAGGAAAAGTTAGACGAACAGCAGTTTGAAAGAGTGTATAACCAAGACAAGAGATTACACTTGTTTTAGATCCATTGCAGTGTGGGGACGGCACCTGATTGATTGATTGATTGATTGATTGATTGATTGATTCATTGATTGACTGATTAGTCGATTGTAGTCGAGGTTAGAATATAACTCTTGTAGGTTACACAGACCTAGTTTCATTTGTCATATAGCCGCTAATCTTTGACAGTTAGTAAGTGAGCCTAAACCGACAGAACAATCATCGAGTTTCCATAAATGTGGTTTTAACAGAAGAGTGTCTACGATTTCCCGGACAGCAAAAACGAGTAAAAATCTAGATGTTTTGAAAGAGTTTAATACCAGAAGAAAACTTTATCACAAACATCTGAAAGAGGCTCTCATCATTTTGGACCATACTGTTCACACACGCGTGCGCGTGCACACCCATGCACGCACAAGATCGCGCACACACAAACTAGATTATGAGACAACTGGAAACATTTACAGAAAGAAGTAAGCGATGGAGAGATAATGGGGATACTTGGAGTTACAAACAGAAAAAAAGAAGGTCGATCACAGATGTGAGTGAAGGCGGTAGATGTCTGCAACAGTGAACTCCAAGAGCTCGGAATGCTGAAGAAGAAGAACAACAACAACAACAACAAGAATAAGGGCAAGAGGGAAGAAGGAGAAAGAAAAAGAAGAAGTGGGAAGAAGAGGAAGAAAAGAAAGAGGGAAGACAGAGAAAAAGGATAAACAAAAAGGAGACAGAAAAGAGGAACGAAAAGAAAAAAGAAGGAAAAAGAAGAAAAGTTAAAAAGGAGAAAGAAAAGGAAGGGAAAATGAGACAGAAAAAGGAAGAAGAATAAGAAAAAGAGGAAGAAGGAGAAAGAAAAAGAAGAAGACGATGATGGTGTTGAAGAAGATGATTGCCAACAGCTTTTTATGGCGGCTCAAAATGGCAACAGCAAGCGAATCGATACCGACGGTTAGAGACGACAGTTGATGAGATAAGGATACTCTTTATTGACAAATTAAACGCTATTGTATGAGTTATTCTGTTCACGATACCGACATATCCAGCTTTCAACCGCTCGGCTGTTGGTTGTCGGAGGGTGAATTGTTAGTGACACCTGCGGTTTTTGAAATAAATAGTCAAAGGTCCCTTTTCCAAGCCTTTATGCGTATTGGGCATATAGGGCTAGACCTATATTTTAAAATACCAATCGGCACTTGGGGGTTGATGTGGTCAGCAGGACTGCACCTGGTACCCACTCAAGGCTGGGTCGACCTGGGAGTCAAGGATATAAAAAAAAGAGCTCCGGCTCCATCAAGACTTAAACCCACGACCTTCAGATCTGCAGGCGAGCATCTGGCCGCTACACCACTGCGGCACGCAAATGGCCGTGTAGCACGGTTATGTTGGGGCAGCCACAAAACGGTTAGGGAGTAACCTGTAGTTCAGTGTGGCTGGGTTTGTTGGGGCAGCCACAAAACGGTTAGGGAGTAACCTGTAGTTCAGTGTGGCTGGGTTTGTTGAGGCAGCCACAAAACGGTTAAGGAGTAACCTGTAGTTCAGTGTGGCTGGGTTATGTTGGGGCAGCCACAAAACGGTTAGGGAGTAACCTGTAGTTCGGTGTGGCTGGGTTTGTTGGGGCAGCCACGAAACGGTTAGGGAGTAACCTGTAGTTCAGTGTGGCTGGGTTTGTTGGGGCAGCCACAAAACGGTTAGGGAGTAACCTGTAGTTCAGTGTGGCTGGGTTTGTTAGGGCAGCCACAAAACGGTTAGGGAGTAACCTGTAGTTCAGTGTGGCTGGGTTATGTTGGGGCAGCCACAAAACGGTTAGGGAGTAACCTGTAGTTCAGTGTGGCTGGGTTTGTTGGGGCAGCCACAAAACGGTTAGGGAGTAACCTGTAGTTCAGTGTGGCTGGGTTTGTTGGGGCAGCCACAAAACGGTTAGGGAGTAACCTGTAGTTCAGTGTGGCTGGGTTTGTTGGGGCAGCCACAAAACGGTTAGGGAGTAACCTGTAGTTCAGTGTGGCTGGGTTTGTTGGGGCAGCCACAAAACGGTTAGGGAGTAACCTGTAGTTCAGTGTGGCTGGGTTATGTTGGGGCAGCCACAAAACGGTTAGGGAGTAACCTGTAGTTCAGTGTGGCTGGGTTATGTTGGGGCAGCCACAAAACGGTTAGGGAGTAACCTGTAGTTCAGTGTGGCTGGGTTTGTTGGGGCAGCCACAAAACGGTTAGGGAGTAACCTGTAGTTCAGTGTGGCTGGGTTTTGTTGGCCAGAAACATTATGATACTCTCTGGTGCTTAGAGGGTAGTGAACGCGTTAAACAGTTCCCAGATACTCAAGTACTTGAGTTCAATTTCTACGGTGTACATTTTTTTTAAAAAACACCTACGCTATTGTAGTTTTCGGACGTTGGTAGGAGAATCACACCGTGGATGAGAAAGGATTATCACCGTGAAGTTTTCACAAAGACTGCACTGCAATCGATGGACTGTAGCCAACCTGTGTGTATGTGTGTGTGAGTTTCGCGTTTGCTCGCGCGCGCTAACGTGCGTCTGTCTGTCTGTCTGTCTGTCTGTCTGTCTGTCTGTCTGTCTGTCTGTCTGTCTGTCTGTCTGTCGGTCGGTCGGTCGGTCGGTCGGTCGGTCGGTCGGTCTGTCTGTCTGTCTGTCTGTCTGTCTGTCTGTCTGTCTGTCTGTCTGTCTGTCTGTCTGTCTGTCTGTCTGTCTGTCTGTCTGTCTGTCTGTCTGTCTGTCTGTCTGTGTGAGAAAGAGAGAGAGAGAGGAGAGAGAGAGAGAGAAAGAGAGAGAGAGAGGTACAGTTTTGAAGGGGTTTAGCTAGGTATCGATGTGTTTTATTTGCTAATGTGTTTACCAGGGCCTTTAACTCGTTCGACTCCAAACAGCTTAGCACGACTTTATAATTCATTAAACATTTGCTTCATTCAGCGATAAATGTCTGTAGGTTTCATCCCGTCACTGATAAAAAAAACAACAACCGGAATGTCAGAACTATGCTTCTTGTTGGTGCATGTCAAAAGTATGGCGGCCATCTTTAAACTGTCCTTATGACGTCACACTGTTAGTCTACAGCGTGGTATCACGTGCCTAATACTCTTGTCGTCCTTAACAACAACATTAGTTTTGATGTGGTGGGACTTAGGGATCACCCTATATAAATTATATATTTTATATAGTGGGAAATATGTTATCATCAAGTGCCTTCCTGTCGTGCTTCTCCACATTCTGCGATCTGTAACAGCCAAGCGTGTATCACTTCATGTGCGGAGACCCACTCCATGCCATGACAGAAGGCTGTCATGAACCTTCTCCCGTTGTTTTCCTCTGTACATTTTTTTCACAGATTTCTGCAGTGATCCTTTCATATTCAGATTTCCATCTTCTCATAACATGACAAATAAAATACTTACAAAAGAAATGCTAGTACATGGAAAAAGGGAACCCTCTTACAAATTGTCCGGAAGAAGGGGAGGATGTTTAAAGAGGCGCAACTCTCAGGCGCCGTCACCTATGTATAAGGGTTCTGTATCGACACGGAGATGGTGAAACTCATTCTGGTGTCTGACGTGCAGGTACGAGCAGTTCTTCGCGTGTTCTCTTTCTGATTTACACAGGTAGAGTTTTTGTGATAAACGTGACTGTTTTCAAGCGTTCCCTTTTAGTCCCGTACAACTTTGAGTGCAATGTTGACTCACTGGGCTAGTATTCCCTTCTTAGACATTTTTGCTGGACATGTCCTGTAGTATGCACATACAGCCCACACTGGCACAGTTGTAAAAGGGGAGCCTAATGGTCCCGGGGTATGGCATCTGCTTCGAATGCTAGAGGTCTGGGTTTCGAGCCAGGATTTCCTGTTTGTATTCGGCTAATAAGAAAGTACCCATTTTTCTTTCTTTCTAAAACCATATATTTTTCTCCGTGTTCTTGAAAGTTTGTATCGTGAGATTGTTTAATGCGTGTCTTTGATCCCCCTTTTCCCCACATTAATATGTTTTATGTGTGTTTTTAAAGTATTCATAATTATTTTGACTAATCCGCAGAAGCTGCATACCTGGCCTCGATGTCTGCCGCTGCGAGCCACCACACAGCCATATATGGTATCGGCGGCAGCGCATTGCCGCCATTCCTGGACCAGACCGCAGTCTCTTGCCACGGCCCCACCCCTCTGAGCCTCGTCAAACAAGAGCCCAAGGAGAGCCCTGGTGCAGAAAAGACCAACAAGCAGAGTGAGAAAAGGCCCACTTCTTACAAGTTCGATACAGACTCGAATAGAGGCAGTAGAGAATCCTCGTCATTGCCGTTTTCGTCGTTAACAGGGAGTTTGATAAGTGCCCAGCTGCGAGAGCCTAAGCTTTCTCCGTCGTCGTGTTTGGAAGTGCCTTCGAGGTTGGACAAAAAGTGCGGCAACTCGAGCTCTTCGCGGGCAAATAATGGTGATCTCTATAGAGGGAAGAAGACTTCAACAAACTCACCTGCCTGTTCAAATCCTTCCTCAAAAGCTCGAAGTGAAGCTGCGCCGAATAGACCCACACAATCAGCAGCGTCTGGACATACTGCTAAAAGAACAAATAACAGTAACTCAGCTGTTTCTTCTGACTGTAAAAAAAGTAGTGCCAAGTCATCTGGCAATGCCTTTAATCGGTTACAACAATCTGCGATTGGTAATTCAATTTCGGCGTCTACGTCGTCTTTTTTGTCTGAAGCCCCAATAATTAGTGTTCCCACCCACGCCGCCTCCCCAATTGCCCTCGCGACTGTCCAGCTCGATGGCGTTGTTCTATCAGCTCTGGCAACTCCGTCATCGGCTGCCGCTTCTTCCTTTTCCACAAAAGCAATATTTCGCAACCAGCAGTCAGATAAACCCAACCGAACCACACTGGGAGACAAGGATCTAAGGAGGGATACTCATGGGAAATTTGCTACAGAGGCGAACTTATCCAGTGGGCTTTCAGAAGGGATCATCGACACCACACTCAACTGTAACGAGGATAGGTCGGCTAGTCGTAAGGTTGGTGGCATGAGCGGCGATGTTATTACAAAAACAAACACAAGTATTTGTGGCGGAACCGTCAATCCGACAGAGGATTCTAAATTGCTTAGTGACGATAGCTGCGATATCATTGTGGATTCCACTGAAAAAGATGAATCTACAACACCCGTGGATTCGGTAACCAAATCTGAGACGGATACGTCAGTTGGAGGGTCCACGCCCAGAATAGCGTCTGCGGCAGACACCGATATGGATAGCGACCACGAAGACTTCGCATCTCAGGCGTCTGCAGAAACGGATGCCACAAACACATCGTTGGTGTGTGTGACCCGGATGGAGACCACCTGTGTTGTGACGCCGTCGGGTGCCGCCTCTTCTGGGACGAGAACTGTTTATGCAAAGACTCAGCCAGTGTTATCTGTTGCTGTGTCAGGTGATTATACTTGTTACTTCTTTCGTTCGTTATTAACCTGTTTTCTTTATCATGCAGTCATGCACCCAGGGCTACCAATGTTGCCCCCCCCCCCCCCCCAGATCTGGGTTTTTATTTGACGCCTGGGGAAAATTTTGTACATTTTAACAATCTGGTTTTTGGGGGGGGGGGGGGGGGGTGGGGGGGGGGGGGGGGGGGGGGGGGGGGGGGGGGGGGGTCTTTTGTCTATGCATTGCTTGGGTTTTTGTTCAGCTAAGCTGGGTTTTAAAAAAATATCTAATTGGCAGCCCTGGATGCATCAGTTGCTAGGAAATGCATTTAGAGGTGCAACGATCAATTCTCGATCGCTTGCCTACCCCCTCCCAATTTTGTTTTCTCTCTCGCTCTACTCCAAACACATCTCTGCCCCAGGTATGGTTTTAATACTGGTAAACTATTTGGCACGTTATTTTTAATTCGCCCCAGACAAAAGAAATCTGGGAGTTTTCCCGGGGGGGGGGGGGGGGATAGAGGCAGGATTAATTGGTGATTCTGAGGCAGTCGGGGGGCTAACGTAGATCTTAACCACAACTCCAACTCGAAACACCCCAAGACTATTGGACACACTCCCGGAAACTCAGGGTGCATTAAAAATAAATTAGGCTTTTATTATTGCGGTCAACTTATTCTACCATAAATAAAGTATTTAGTTGTCTTATCTTATTTCTACCAACTCTTTCACACACACACACACACACACACACACACACACACACACACACACGCACACGCGCGCACACACACACACCTCATCTCTCTCTCCCCCCCCTCCCCCCCCCCCCCCCCAATAACCATCGTAATAGTTTGTCTTTATCTGAAACATTGCCTACTCTTTTAATTGTCTACATTTCATTGCCTCAATTGGATTTTATAATTGCTTGTTACTTATCTAGGTTTATGCACCTTGTAGTAGGACTCGGCATTCTTCACATTGATATAATATTACGTCCGAAACTACTCCAGTCAAAATTTGCTGAGTTGTGGTTTATGAACGCAGTATTTTAATTTCAGCATCCTGAGTTGGATTCAGCTGCAGGCGATGTGGCAGCAGATCGCCTAGCGATGATATTGACAACAGTTTGAGCGTAGACTCTTTAGGGTACAGTGGCAAACTACTGGACACAGTGTTACCTAGTAGATCCACAAAGAGATCAGCAAATGCTTCGGTTATGTTTGGTGGAATTGGACGAGTCCTTGGATAAAATCAAACGTTCTTGGGATGTCGTTTAATCCCGTACCTAATTTGTCTTAGTTTCATTATATATTGTTCTTGTTCTTGTTATTCTTGTTTTCTTCTTCTTCTTCTTCTTCTTCTTCTTCTTCTTCTTCTTCTTCTTCTTCTTCTTCTTCTTCTTCTTCTTCTTCTTCTTCTTCTTCTTCACCACCATCATCGTCGTTTTCTTCTTCTTGGTGGGTGAGTTAAGCCACAATTTGATGTGCAGGTTTATTATTTGAGTTCTTATTCTCCATGTGGGTTACGGGGCTCATTTTGTGGGAACAAAGAACAAACCCACTGCCCCTAAGAAGCATGTCGTAAGAGATGATTTAGTGGGCAGGGGGGGGGGGGGTGATTTCTTCAAAGAAACGAGGAAGCAAATGTCTGCCTACAAATTCATCAGATCTGTAAAACGGAAGTATACGCAAAGCTCAAATTCTACAACAAATCGAAAGTCTTGAAGTGGACGAACAACCATAATTTTTCCCCGGAGTTTACAGCTGAAGGAAAGAAATCCCGTTAGTAAGTCCCTTTGTTCGTATTTCCTGCATTCTAGTAAATTAAACTGCGTATATTGTACGTTGTTTTGTTGTGGACACATTTTAGCTCTAGGAATTAGCATGTATCTGAATATGAAGCTGAAATATTTTGCTCGTATCAGGTGAAATAGCCGATTTGAAAAAATAATAGAAGGCATGGTACCAGGAAGAAGGGGCGGGGACCGACCAACACGAAGACGGGCACGTGATATAAGTGGCTCCTTGAATATGAAAGTGCGCGGGGCGGGAGAGATGGCGAGAGACCGAGTTTATGTCAGGCAGACCGTAATAAGAGCGACGTTCTGCAAAGGACCTGCTTCGTGGTGATGATGATGAGCTTAGCACAATTCTCTTAAATTATTATACTCAAACACCTCCTCCCCCACCCCTCTCCTTTCCCAATCTTCACACAGTACGTGTATTTCATTTGACCTAACAGATGTATGCCAGAAAGGAAAAGTAGCAAGTAAGCAAGCCAACGAGGCAATTGCATGAAAATCAGTCATCATTTTAAAAGCCAATAGTTGCTCTGAATTATGCAATCAGCTGTTTGGTTTGCTCGCATCACCAGTTAAGCGTTATGAAAGCAAATCCATTCTGTGTGCTAACTACGCCGAAAGACGCATTCGTCAATGGGATGGGAAGAAACGAAGCTGGATTAAATATTATTGATAGAATACCTGACCAGAACACACGGAAGCAGGCAGATTTGGGGCTGGCGGAGGAAATATTGTTGTCGGAGAATTCGAATGAGATAGATCCGTGTGGGAGAGACTGTCTTTGGTTCCAGGCATGTTAGTGGGGATAGATTGGGACATGTAGTAATGGTGAATTTTGTTCCTGGTGATGAAAACAGATATTATCCATTCTCCGCCTCCTCTTCCCCTTACCCCTTTTCCTCCTTTTAGTATTCTATACTTGTAAGGGTTACATTATTTAATAATCCATCAAAAATCAAAGCAATCACAGCTTAAAGAAAACGATAAAACCTGTGCAATTGTAAATTGGAAAATCATAAGGACATGGGGAATCTAAGACCATAGGCACAAATTCATATTGATTATTGATATTAAAGATCAAGTGCACGACTTTTAGAGCACACTATACGCACGATGCGCCAACGGCTTATATAATCAGGGTGCTTTATTTACTCCTGATCTTTTACTGTATTCCCAATGAGTCAGTGGCGCCAAAAAAGTCGTTTAGGTTTTGGTGCTTTGCAGCTTCAATGCATTTATTATCTATACCATCTGACGAGGCCAGTCAGCTGTACTGCCATTCTTAGACTGAGATTCTAATATTACTACATATGCCGTTAACGATAATGGGGCCGCATTAGGGCAGTCGATAGGCGACTCGCTTTCAGATCCAGCTGCGACTCGCTGCAGCTCACGACCGGTGTTCGAAACCGGGCGGTTTCCGAGGTTCACCCTGCGTCCAGGAAATGGGTGCCAGAGTTAACACTCTGGGGTAAATGGAGGAACGTCGCTGTAGCTACGGAGTGTGTTCAATTCTTCCGACTTTACCTTTTACCTTTAAGGTAGAAATAAATTTGGATAAGAGAATTTTTTTTTATCTGATTCTCCTTCCTCAGCGAGAATACAAATTGAAAGTTATAGGTTTATTGAATCCGAACCAGACGCATGCAGACGACAAAAGTGACACTAAACTCTTTAACGCGCGGCGGACTAGACATCCATTAGCTAAGCTATAATCCATTCCATTACTTACAGACACGTTATTCACTGCCCGCCAGCGTACGTATATCTTGTTGCTTCATACGTCTGTCAGTTGTTTCTTGATATCTCTACGACTGTATCTATATATATATATAAATCAATGTTTGTGTGTTTGTTTCACCCCTATAGACTCGGAAACTACTGAAACGATTTAGCTGAAATTTTCAGGATATGTTTGTTGTGATACCGGATTTTGAACTGTCGTGGTTTGAAATTCAACCTGTCACTGTTAGAGATTAAAAAAGGAAGCAAACGAGAATGCGGTCAATATCGAGGCATCTCTCTTTTAAGCCATGTTGGCAAAATGTATGCCAAGATAATAGAAACAAGAAAGACCAGTGATAGAACCACAGCTGGCAGAAGAACAGATGGGATTTAGGAGAAATAGAAGCTGCACAGATGCAATCTTCACACTTAAACAGTTAATAGAAAAGAACATTGAATACAATAAGAACTTATTTGTGGCATTCGTAGACCAGGAGAAGGCATTTGACAGAGTCGACAGACAATTATTATGGAAAATAATGGCAAGATATGGAGTAAGCGAACACCTCATCGAAGTGTGCAAAAGTTTATACAGGGATTGTAGAAGTGTAGTTAGAATAATTCAGGGAACATCTCATCCTTTCACAGTGACATCTGGAGTAAGGCAGGGATGTGTCTTATCACCACTGCTGTTTATCACCTACATCGACAGTATATGCAAGAATGCCAAGTCTATGAATGAAGATGTTAGTAAGATCAACGAATTACTCTTTGCAGATGACCAGGCCTTGATAGCAGATACAGCCATGAAATTGCAACAACATCTAACATCCATGAATGAAGAATGTAAAACAAATAATATGAAAATCAACACTGAAAAGACAGAAGTAATGTCAATAGGAAAAAAGAAGACAGATCTAAACATAACAATAGAATACAAAGGCATTAAACAGGCATCTGAGTTTAAATATCTGGAACTACATTTACCGAAGATGGGAAATTGGATAAAGAAATTGACATCAGATGCAGTAAAGCAACCAAGTATTGGGACAGCTAGCCCCCTCTTACAAGCATAAGACAATCCCAGTCAGCACAAAGAGACATCTTATTCAAAGCATATTTATTCAACTCTGTGCTACCAGTGCCAGACATGGTCACTCACAACAAAACATAAAAGAAAATTAGTAACCACGGAAAGGAGATGTCTGAGAAGGGCTGTAGGAGTGACCATAAGAGATAAGATCAGAATGAGATCTTAAGAGAACAAGTCGGCACAGAACCAATTCTGGTTACATACAAAGACAGCAAGTAAAATGGTTTGCCCACTTAGAGAGAATGCCTTGTGACACCATACCATAAAAAGCATACATGGGAAGAGAAGAAGGACGTAGAGCACGGGGTAGACCAAAAAACAAGATGGAAGGATAACATCAGAGAAACTCTACAACAGCACGATGTGCCTATGGTCGAGGCAG